CATGTATTAGCCGAAGACACGAGTTCTGTACTTTCTGGATTTTGTATTTATAGTTTGTGGTTAGATTCGGGTGATATAAAATATCTGCATTATTGAATAAAGAAAGATCCAAGGTTTCACATAAAGTAATTTTTATTGAAGTGGGAAGAAAATATCTGTTTCCATATATTATTATTATAGAAGAATATGCTCGTTGGATCAGTTTGTCTATGTGTTTTTCAAATCTTAAATTTGAATCTAACAAGACACCAAGGCTTTTTCCTTCATTCACTATTTCGAGTTTCTCACCATTAATCATGATGTTCATTTCGTGTACAATACTTCGATCATTTCTTGGTGTAAAAACAATGATACTTGATTTACTCAGATTTATGAATAAACAATGATCAGTAGCGGCTTTTACGAATAATTTCAGATCAGTATTTATTTTCATTCAAGCATTAATTATATTAGACGATGGAAAATCATAATAAAGCTGAGTATCGTCCGCATACAAATGTGCAGAACAGATTTCAAGACATTTCAGAATGTTCGCGGTGTACATTGTAAACAGTAAAGGGCCCAGTGTGGATCTCTGGGAACTCCAGAGATTTCAAAGTGAGGTGTTGAGAGCAGTTGCTATTGATGTTGACTTTCTGTTGCCTTTCACTGAGATATTCACGCAATAGTGATATCGCTTAGCGATGAAGAATAACTAGGAATAAGTCGTGGTTTATGGTATCAAAAGCCCTACTAATGTCGAGCAATACCAGTGCCGTACATGAACCTCGATCTTTAGCCCTAAATACATCATCTACTACATGTAGAAGATCAGTTGTGCAGCTGTATCCCTTCCTGAATCCAGATTGAGTTACTGGTAACAGTGAGTATTTACTCAGATGACTCCGTAACTTTGTATCCATTGCTCGTTCCAGTATCTTTGATAGAGCTGGAAGAATACTCAATCTAATGGAAAGGTATTTTAGAAAACCAATTTCATGTCAGTTTGTGCAAAACATTTCAAAGATGAACATTTTTTTTTAACGATTTCATACCTTTTCTCAACTCAATATTCATATTATATATCTTCAAGAAATTCATTATTCTAGAAAATACACAACTGAGGTTATCTTTCGCGCTCATTTCCAAAAGTATTGCTCAATTTATTGGCGACTGATCGAATATGTCAAAGAAAAATATTACAAGAACTAAATAAATAAGTCTGACAAGATTGAAGAAACTTGGCAAATAATCCCAACACCAAACTGTTATTTTAAACACCTCGACTCGTGTTTCAATCACCAAGTGATAATCTTCAAGAGGAAGGTCTAGTTCAATATTCCTCTTGAAATTAATTACTTTCTTCCTTTTTTTGGAAGATTCCAACACTTTAGTTTGAAGATGGAGAAGTAGAAAGCCAACACCTTTTATTCCCAATTGAAAGTATTGAACACTTTTTTCCATGTTTACAATTACTAAGCAAAGAACGTATAGTTCGACCTTGATCTATGATTGTACTTACCTAGGAAATGTACAAGATTGTATAACATAGTTTGCCAACTCGCTCAAAAGAAAACACAGTTTCTATTTTCTTTGCCTGGTTTGGTGTTCCAAAATATTTTCAAATGCGGTTTTTTCTATTAGTTGGGGAAGGGATCTTAATTCGTAACTTTGAAACTAAAAGAGTATTCAAACATCTCCAAAGTTAGTTATTACAGAATACACAAAGTTTGAGATATATAATTGTTGGTTCCATATATCTAGACAAAAATTTGATTTGTGACTTATATTTTGAAATTCTTCAAATCCTCATTCACTCACGAATTCAAGAATTCATAACCAACAATCAAGATGAATTCGAAAATACAGTTGTTTTCCAACAAGATGATGCGCCCCCATTTTTAAGCCTATGAGGTATCAGTTGAATCAGACATACCAAGGCATGTGCATGGGTAGGAGCGGTCCGGTGTAATGACCTGCTCGTTCACCAGATTTGACTCCTCTCGATTTTTCCCTTTTGGGCCTTTATCGAATTGAAAGTTTATGTTACGCAACGATACGGAAACTCAGAGAGAGAATAACGGAAACTTGTTCTAGCATTACTGCAGAAACATTCCAAAATGTTAGACATGAGTTATGTGTAAGATAAATAACAACGAGATCAAAATTAAATATTTTTATGCCTTCGAAAGCAACACTTATCTATTACAAAGCCTGTTACCAATTTATTTCTCATTCCAATGAACATTTATTTCAAAAAATCTGAATAGGGTGACAAAATTATGAAATTCCTAGTCCCAAATTCAAGCATCAGTATTACATCAGTATTACAGTATACAAACAGACATCGAAATTCAAAATGGCTTTTTTCTTAAAAAGTACTGAAAATGATTCCTTTTTACAAGTATTTTGTCCGACTATGATATCTTGCCCCTTTCGATAGTTACTGTATAATTTTTTGTACAAATTTTACCATCACAAATTGAATTTTTGCTTTGTGTTATAGC